TATGAGGGGTAGGTCTTCCATAAGGGTTTTTTGGGTGGCTGAAAAGTTGCAATATATCATAAATCATTTGAAAACCAATAAAAAGTTTATAATTCAACATATGAATACCATTAAAACATCTCAAGCTTTCAATAATATTTTTTTGTTTATTTTATTATAAGGGATAGTTTTTAAGGGTTGCAACATTGTAATGAGTCGTAAGCTTTCTAATGAATAACAAAAGAAATGCAATACATTGTAAATGCACCAAAAGAATATTTTAAACGGTTAAAACCTTTTTTTTCTTTTGTTGGGCCTGGAATAGTCCGGTCAAAATAGACATTTCAAATAACGAAAATTCCGACAGAGCTAAATTTTGGTGGAGACCTTGGGTACACCATTAGAAATAAAGTGTCAAAAGTCCCCATCGATCCCATGCGTGCTAAAAAAGTTATTTGGGGTCAAAGGTCAAAATTTGAGGTTATTTGGATTTTTTTCAAAAACTGTAAGTTTAATAAAAAAAGTAGCTCAGAAAAAAATTATCTACAAAATAGTCCTTATACTTTTTTTATATATCGCCATTCTTACAGTTGAAGGAGTCACGTTCTACATGATATGCACACATTTCCACACCACCTGTGAGGTAGTGTACTTTGGCGCGTTTTTGTTTTTTTAACGTAGTTTCCCTGGTAGGCCTACTCCAGGAACTGTTATGACGAAATTTTCAGGGACAATACTCTTAACTGCATGATGATTATTGAGATATTGGTTATTGACTTTAACTGTAGTTCTGATTTCTTTTGATATTTTAATCTGATTTATACTCTTCAAAGGACTTCAACAGTCACGTCTTCTTCGATCTCTTCTTCTTCTTGCTGGATGTTCATAAATTGTTCAAATGAAGATGAATCAGCTGTCTCTTCATCGAAATCAGATGAATCTTCGTCTGTTGTATTTAATTGGACATTTGAGCAAGACTGGCTTTGACAATTAGTACACGCTGGAGAACACAGTAACCCTACTCTTCTACAGCCACATTTAGCACTACAACCTTTTTTGCAATTGAAAAAAATAGTGTTTAGGAGTTTTTCCGGAGCAGATGGGAGTAAAGTTTCAATCGGTTCCAAAGTATTATCTGTTAATTTCCAACACCAGTCTTCTGGGTTCAGTTGATTGCCTAGCCATGTCTGAACTTGATAGTATACTTGATACAAGTGTTGATTAGCAGAAGCCGATGTTGGAGGAAGACAAGATAGTTGTGCTTGTTTCTTGTTTCGTGTATATTTTATAAAAGTTTTTACAATAGAGTAGCCAGATGTTATTCACTGCCATGCGGGTAGAGGGGATTGACTAAAGGACTGAGTTTCTTTTGAGTGTATATTCTCAAAATAATATAGTTTATACATATAAGACACAAATAGGCATTTTTACTTGTATTAAGTGTATCGATGGGGACTTTTAACACTTTAATTTCTAATGGTGTACCCAAGATCTCCACCAAAATTTAGCTCTGTCGGAATTGAATCTTTAAAATACGTAAATCTGCGATTTTCGCCTTTTTTTCGTACAAGCGTACGATTTGGGAGTTTTCACCCCCAAATAGAAAAAAACACACATCTAGACAATATAACTTTTTAAGTGGGGGGGTCAGATCAGCTTGTATGCAAATTTTCAGGAAAATCCATGCTATCCGAAAAAATTGGGAGTTTTACATTATTTTCGCCTTCAGTGACTGGACTACGAGTAGAACGAACTTTTTTGTAGCTGCCTCGATAAAAAAAAGTTGAATTATTTCAACATTCATTTTCAAAAATAAATGAATATTTCTAAATTTTTGAAATATCAAAAGGGTGTCATTAAAATATTAGATTAGTAATTCCAAGAAAGTAGTAATATGAAATTTCACCTTTTATAAAAAGCAATTATGGACATAATTATTTTAGGTATTTTAAGTTATAAAATTCTGCTAGATATTATTGAATATTATTTTCTTGATTTCATACAGGATGTTGGGATTTTGGAAACATCTACAATTCTAAAGTTATAATACCTACCTACCAAGTAGACATTAGGAATAACTCTGTAGTCCATAATTTAATAACAGGAAAATACAGAAAAATGTGACCTGTGTGCCCTATAGCACTTTGACCCACTGAATCCAAATGTAATCAGAATTCCCAGATCAGTTCCTGATGTTTTGACCCCAATATCAAGACACTCCTCTAGAAAGGCATTTTCGAGATTTCAAACTGATCTGCGAGTAATCAGTGATTCGAAAAACATTTGAATTCATGATTTCATTGCACCATAATCCTATAACTCTGTAGCTTATTATAATTACAAAACTTTGTAGGAATATGGATCTCGTTCATCTGGAGTTCAAAACAACAGGACTGATTTGGCAGGCTTCCATGCATAACCTAATACCCTAGATGTGCGAGAATGTATAATCACAAAACTCTGAAGATCGAGCCAGTAGTCCTATAATCCTTTAACTGATCTGGGAATTCCAACAGATTCGGCTAGTCAAAATATTATGGGATATATCGATCTAATCAACAGCTCAAACCAGTATTTTTGGCAGTGTTTAATTTATTAATCAATCTATAGCTGCAATTATAAGACCAGCCAGCTAAATACAATATGAAGTGATGTAATTATTTTATTTGCAAAACAATTGAAATTTCATAATTTACCTATGTCTTTATGTCTTCCTTGGAAGTTTGGAACTCCTAACTATCCCTTAAAGAAGCACTTCAATCGAATGTGAATTGGTCCAGCGCAAATTGCAGGTTATATGGACATGATGGCGAGAATTCCATATACGGAGTGATTCACAACTTATCCAAAAAAATTTGGGAATAGATGCGGCATGAGAAATGGAGTCAATGTCGTAAAATTTTTGTAAAATCCTTATAGTTTCCGAGAAAAAAATTATAAGTTGTAGTACTTTCAACCATCACATAGATGGGCAACTGTAGTCTCTAGCGTTATTCCTAATACGCGTGGAGAACCATGTGGCCTCAGCGATTCCGACTACTGAAATTCATTTTTACAGAAGACGCCATAATGTTTACAATAGTTTTTTAGTAGTTAGTGTCAAAAATGGCTTGCGTGTGTAGACGCGGAGTATATGGATGTTGGTGGACAAAATTTTGAACAGTTGTAACATCAGGTATGCGAAATTATTTTATTATTTAAACCACAAATTAATTTAATTAATTAATAATAACAATAGCCGTAAAAGCAGTTGAATAGTGGACTAGTTTCCAGTGCCGTGCAGAAGTATATTTTTAAATCATTTTCGAACTGCCCTTTTTCATTTTTTGTGAGAGTCCCCTGTACATCCAGATTTTTTTTGATAAGTTCTGAATCCCCCTGTATTTCCTCTATCATTGTGCGTTCTTATAGGTAGAAAGTCAAATACTGGGCATATCTCTGGACATTTAACNTTAATCAATCTATAGCTGCAATTATAAGACCAGCCAGCTAAATACAATATGAAGTGATGTAATTATTTTATTTGCAAAACAATTGAAATTTCATATTTACCTATGTCTTTATGTCTTCCTTGGAAGTCTTGGAACTCCTAACTATCCCTTTGTGAGATTTTTAAGATTTTATAAGTTAGGGTGACTTTTCTTCTAAGCACTTGTAATTTTTCCAAAAATTAAACACTGTATATAACATAAACAAAGCAGCAACATTTTTAAGAATTTAAAAACAAGGAAGCCATTTTCTCAAATTACAAAAAAAATTTCCTCTTCACGTAAATAGACTTGATTTGTATTACACTTTTATTAAAATATTACATCACAAATTTTAAAAAGTGTATTCTCAAAATATTTTTTTTAAAGAAGTTTATTCATTTTAAAATCAATTTAAACAAATGTTAAAGTACCTATTTATTGCAATAAATGTGAGGCAATAACAGAAAAGAAATTTGTATAACAAGATAATAATAAACGAAATAAAAAAAACTGTCACAGTAACTAAAAATGCCACAAATAAATACAAAACAAAAATAAAATCATTACAGAAAATATTAAAAATGAGTTTATTTTACATATCAACTGAAATTTCCAGTTTCCATTATTGAACATAAAACTGCTAAATTTTAAACTTGGACTGTTTTCATAACCTTAATAAAGCATTTAATATCAAAATATGGGCTAATAGGTACACATTCATCAATCAGACACTAATAAAAAAATACTCACTTAGCTACATTGAAAATATTCATCCTTTTGACAGTTTTGACACAGCTTAATAATATATTTTGACTTCTAAGTTCTACCCAGGGAGACTACACAAGAGGTGCGTTTTGTTGGATCAATCCCAGATTTATTGGATTCTTTAGAATGACTTTTATCAATAAAACCAGGGAGACTAGATAAGGAGCACGAACTCATACGGGAAAATTGACAAAATTTGTCCAAGAAATGGCAGAAGTTGGGGTGGCGCTAGTGTTCCATATGACCCAAATGAATGTAGCTTCATAAATACGAGTGAAGTAAGCAAATAACCAATTTTATTTTATTTATATTGAGTTTAATAGATATATTGGGGAGCGGGGAGGTATACTAACCTAAAAACTAGAAGTCAAGTCAATAATTATTACAATTTGTTTTTATAAATGGTAAATAAAAAGTTTCGAAAATAATTTAAATATGGTAATAGTATGTGAAGTGAATGACTGTCAACAGATTTAAAATAAAACAGTACGTTTGTGATCTGCATTTTCAATCTAATGATGTCCAGCAGTTCTATATTACAACTTGACCGAATAGTGGGTTAATATTATGGCAAAAGGTCGAATAATTCGGAAGTTGGAAGCAGCTTCTTTGATTCTTAATACGGTAGAGAAATTTTTAAATAGAAAGATTTCATAAGTGAAAATATTGTATAATTGAATGATGCATTGTTTCTTTATATATTTTGCAGCAGCATCAACAGCAAGAGCATCCGCTACACCAGCAACAACAGGTGCAGCAGCTACAACAAGAGCAACAGTTACAACAACAACAACAACAAGAACAGCAAGTAAATCAAGAGCAATTAAGTTACGATGAGATTATACTAGAAAGTGAGCATCCTGTCCTGTATAATCTAATAAAAGAAAAGTTCTGTTGACGTGTGATGAGGTCTCGACAAAGCAACTATGAATATGTTCACATAATATTGACAATAGCAACAAAGTATACTTTATTTATTTCTACATATTCTTGTAATTTATATTACGTGCATAAATAATTAAATTCGTATCTTTCATATAATTCTTGCTGGTGACATCGCTATTATCATTACTGAATTGAATAAATCATTTCCAATTAGTTGCTGTTTCTTTCCTGTTAGTAAAAAACTGATTGAAATTCAGATATCATATAAAATTTAAAGAGAGGATACGTGTAGTAATTGATGCTGATCGATCTGTATTGGTAATTGACTACTTTTACTAAATATTTAAACATGGAAATCAATTGCTTCATGAACAAAATGAAATTTTAAGAAGATAGACTGACACGTATTACTTATTTTTAAGTTGTTTTATTTGTAATATATATTTACTTTGTTACTTGTTTGTTATGAATAAATATTTATTTTATTTTAATTAGGCACAAATAATTTCGTTTTTTTGATTCAATTAATAAAACATTGAAATCTTTGGTAGATAAACATTTTATTTTTACAAAATATGTAACAAAAATATAGAACATTGCTAAAATATTTCTTTATAATACCTTATTAATTTTGGTCTATACTCTACCTTGAAATAAGTCATGGAACCATGTTACGTTCGAATTAAATCAACAATTTTACGAAAGTAGAATTAAATTTTACAGCAATTTTAAAATATATACCCAGAAAACTAATCGATTTTAAACAGTTATAAAATATTTAGATTACCTAGTTTTTGTGACCTTTATAATGGAGTACCTATATTTTGTTAAAATTTTGGTATCAATTGGTTATGTTGTTTTAAGCTTCTTGACATTTTGAGAAGAGAGCGATATGACTCTCGAAGCATTGAGAAGTCTAAACCGACAACATGGCAATCAGCTTAGAAATTGTCCAACCATAATTTATCGACTTTCCATAGTCAGTTTTCAGTTACACTATAATATAGTATATTATTGGTTATTCAAAAAAAATATGGATTGTGATATACTCTATCTTATATGAATTCCTTTCCCATCAATTATTCCTATAACCTGCTCTGGAAATTCATATTGGGCAAAATATTGTTCGATTACAACTGCCTCATTATCTCGGCCATTCTATAATTTATGGAGACAAGTTACTTAGCAAGTATGTAACTTTTCTGGTTGTTGTAGAGCTTAAGGCAATGCAAAATTTACCAGAATCATGGGTGAAATAATTAGAAATGGCAAATTTTTCTTCAATTCTGTTAGCTACTTCCCATATGCTAACATGGAAATGTTAAAAAAACTTGGCCACTATATTCAGGTACAATAATTTCAAAGTAGTTCTTATTTTTTACTCTATCTGTTTCTTAGAATAAATCTATTTCATCACCACTCTCAAGCTGGACAATGCGTCTAATAAGTCATCTGAATCACTGGACTCAAAATCGGACATCTGTAATATTTTAAAAAGTTTATTTAAAACACCGAGTTTTTTTATATTCTATTTTTTATTACCACAAGTAAAAATTCCATATTAATAATACAAGAATTACTATTTTTTTAAAGGCAACTTCCTGTATAAAATGTGACTATTTTTTACTAACATTAAACTAAAATCTTTAACAAAGTAATTATCAAAAACATAAACCTTACTTATAGGTTAATATTAACAAGATCACGTCATAAATTCCTTGAAAACTAGTTTCTTTCTACGAACACCAAATTCTTCTCATAAAGCTAATATTTTTTATTATCTATTTAGTTTAATTACAGTCCGGAATGACATATTTTCATGATTTATATAATTCAAAGTAGCTTACATTATTTATTTTAAAATTTTTAACACATTACAAAAATGACATGATTGATTTATAATTCAAACTGCCGCTTTTTATCTCCCCTCTCTACATATGGGACATATGGAACACTAGCGCCCTCTTATTTTTGTAAGATTTTTGTTTACATGGAGTTCGGGCTCCTTGTATAGTCTCCATGAATAAAACGATTCGAATCAAATCTGACATAAACAGATGCCGACTCAACGGGCAACGGGCCAATGCCACAGAAGATAAAATCTTCTGTGTCAATGCTACACCAGCTACCTAAGAAGTACTAAGAACCATAGAAAATATAGTACTAACGTTAGTACTATATTTTCTATGCTAAGAACCTAAGTAACCTAACCTCAGTCCTCACAAATTTGATCACCCCACCACTTAATTCTAATAATTCCGTCTCAAACTACAGAAGCAAAAGTTGCAATTGGATTCAGAATATCCTTGCAATAAAACGCTCATTCTGCATAGTTCAATTCCGGAATCAATCCAACAAAACGCACCTAATGCGGCGGCTACACGACACGCGCCAATATTCCATGGCTAGAAATTGGCCTCAATGATTTGGGATCGAGGGGGA